CGGTGTGAAACGTCGTGCACCCTCGGGAACTTCGTTCAGTGGCTACGAAGAGGGAGGGGTGGGGAAAGAAACACGAGAAAGGGACAGGGAATCGAAGAAGAAGAAAAAAAGGAGCTTAATGGCTCTCAGGAGATCCGGAATACAAGGACAGACGTTGCACTCGCGAACGGGGCGCCACGCAATAAACATCATCGCCTTTCGTTCGCTTGTCCTGCATCCACCACCTTTGCGTCTCTGCGTTTTCGGCAAGCATTTACCGTCGTCGGCTCTGCCTCCGTTCTCGTGTCTGTTATGTGCGAATGCGAAGAGAGCTGAGTGTTTATAACTGCACGGTGCTGGCGGCGGTGACGAAGGGAAAGGGAAAGGGAGGACGAGAAAGAGAGAAGGGGAAGAAATTTGGAAGCGAGATAAAGAGAGACAGAGGTACAGAAAAGGAGAGAAAGAAAGAGAACGAAGGAGAAAGAGGTACATAGCTAGAAGAGAGTGTGCGTACGAGAGTAAGAGGAAAAGGGGGGTGGGGAGAGAGAGAGGGCCAAAGGCTCGTCGGACGGAATATTCGGTGTGCCACACATTTTCTACGAAAGATTGTATTTATTGCGGGAACCTTGTTGTTCGTGACATTATTTCAATTATTGAAGATTTTGATATACCGTGTATATATATATAATATATATATATGTATGTATGTATATATATATATATACACATATATATCTATATATCGAACCTTCCTTATAGCGATCCCTTCCAATTGAAAGAACATTACTCGGTTACAACAACGGTGGTTCGGCTATTTAACTATCTATCTACTTAATGTCGAAGAACAGTTGATTGAAATTCTGGATAACCTGATCGCACAAAGGCTTCAAGTGTCAGCTCGTCGACAGGCGTGACAGCCTCCTCGACTGTCTCGTCCAACCTCTGTTCTCCCTTTCTTGGTAAATATCGGCGTCGGTACCGTCACTCGATTCCGCGATGTTCACGGGGACAGTGAAGATCGAAATATGCCAAGCAGTCGGGCTAAGGGCGACGGACAAGCAACGAAAGTTTTGGCAAGATGAGCCTATACTCGACCCCTATGTTCAGTTGGACGTCGACGAGAATCATCTTGATCGTTCGTCCACCAAACCGAAAACGTTCGACCCGGTATGGAACGAATGTTTCACCCACGAAGTCCAGGATGCAGTGACACTTGGATTGACTGTCTTCCACGACGCGGCATTACCGCCGGATTACTTCGTCGCCAACTGTAGCATTCCTTTCGAGGAACTTGTCAGCAGGAATGACAAGACTGCAGACCTTTGGGTTGGTTCTCACACAATTTTCCGGCTGCTCTTTTTATCATACATAGACACATGTTTTTTGGCAAATTTTTTTCTTTCGAAAGCAAAATGTTTTCTTCTTTTTCCTTTTCTTTTTATTTACTTTTATTTCTATCTTTTCAAGTTCTGTGGATGCATGTCCCTATACTTTGATCACCAATTTGTAAGTAATTATGATTTAATAGATTCACGTTAATTTTGTGTTGACACCGTGATGTTTGTTGTTGACATATGTAGTAGTAACGTGTAATCTATGTATGTCTTTTTATTATGACATAGGACAATTCAAGGTAGCCTGATAAGATTATGTCAATAGAAACCAAAGCAAAGATAGGCGATACGTATTTCTTAGATCTGAGACATACGTAATGACTGGAGTTTTGTCTAGTTTCTCTGAAATGTTGAAACAGTGTATAAAAAGTGTAATACATTTGTGTAACATTTCGTTCATACATTAGAGAAAGTTTTATAGTTTATTAAAAGGATATTGTATTTATATTATTGTATTTATATCATACAAATTGATTCCTAATACTGAATGATATGACTATTGAATATTTGATTTAAATTAAGACATTTGTGTTTCTTATGCGTTTTAATTATATAGTAACTTTTTTTCATTTTCCAATGCCTTCAAGTTACGATATTATGAATTATTATGAGAAATTAAATTTGTTTTAGGTTGATCTTGAACCTCAAGGAAAGTTAAGAGTCAGAATTGATCTAAAGTGGAATGATCAAGGTAATGAACAAGTAGTAAAAAGATACATAGGACATACTGCTACAATGAAATTCTAGATCAACAATCAAGTTGTGGTACAGGTGATGGAGAAGGAATCGGAGGCAGAGGTGGTGGAAGCATTACTACTGGGAAGGAACCCAGGAGGGAATTCAAAGAAAGACAGGGTTTCAACCGGCGTAGGGGTGCTATGCGACGTAAAGTTCATCAAGCAAATGGTCACAAGTTTATGGCTACCTTCCTGAGGCAACCAACTTTCTGTTCTCACTGCCGTGAATTCATATGGTATGTGTTTTAATAGAAATATATGGATAACATTGCTTAATTTCTAATTCATAAGCATATACTGACACTAATTCAAAACATTTACTAATTTTAACCATTTTATACAAAGTATTATACATTTAATTTGGTGTATATATTTATAAAAAAATGATTGCAATTAGATTGATTTAAGTTAGTTTGTATTACAATGTAATAGACTTATGCACATCAATTTAATATGATTATAATATGATTATTAATATGATTATAAGATTTTGGTTCTTTGGATAATTTAAAAGTATTAAAGTTGCATGCCTGGGTTTTGGTTTCTTAGAATATACTGTAGTATTATTAATATAAGAAGAAAAAACTATATATTTTTTTAATAATTAAATTAATTTGATAATATAGATATACATAATTTTAAATTATTTTATCAGCACATAATATTTGGAGCAGGGAAGTGATTATTTTAACAAACACCTTGAGCCGACTTTCAAGCTCTTAAACACTCTTTCTTTTTCAGTAATATAACAGTTACATAACATTCTACATATTCTGTTGGAATAAATCATTTAATTAAGAAATAGGCTGCATGCATTGGTTTTGCAAGCATATACTATATCTATTGTTTGGTCAAATATCTTATGAAATAATATATTATTATGCCTGTAGACAGAAATTTTCTAATATAATAAATTATTTTTAAAAAAGTATCAAAAACATCTAAGACAGAAATAAAAATTGAATAATAATCTTTGTTAATCATTCTTAAAAGGCTAGAATAAATGTTGAATTACGGTTTTTTGGCCTAAGAAAGCATACGTATGTGTTTTATGAGGGTATACAAGGAGACGATGTGATGTGTTTTGTCTGTTGTATTTCAGGGGCTTGGGCAAGCAGGGCTATCAGTGTCAAGGTGAGAAGACACATACACGTTATTAACAAATATTATAATTATATATTTGCTTGCTTTACCTTTGTGTGAACATATATTTACCTAAGTGTGTGTATGTGTACTTAGTTCTTTATGAAAAATCAAAGCATTTAGGAGTAAAAATTCGTGATTCAGTTATTTCAGTTTAAAATATTTCAAGTCTGCAGCGTTTAATTTGGCCCATGGCTCAATATCTAATGCTATGCTTTCTTTAATAAAACTTGAAAAATAAAACTTAATGTTCATAACACATCAATCAAGTTTTTATTACAAATTGTATTAGCTATGATTTAATATAGTTTATAAGTGGGGATATATCTCATTGCATGTTTCTAAACAAACTGTAACAAATCATCAGGAAGTTCTAATGGTTTCATTTTACCATGTCCTATATTCTGTCTTTAATGTTTAAGCTTATACAGTTCAACATCCACCAAATTTTATTTGTGTTTTTTCATTTCAAATCAATGCGTTTAATCACGCATGCAGCCAAGCTTTGGTTATGCTATTCTGAAAGTCATCTGTATTAAAAAAATGTATACATTCAATTACTTTATTATGTTTCAGTCTGCACATGTGTAGTTCACAAAAGATGCCACAAGTTGGTCATCACAAAATGTCCAGGCATGAGAGATGAGGTAAATTTATTTTATTCAACTGTTGCATATTATTTGTACTTTTTTTTAAAAAACCAATTGATTAATACTTAAATTAATATTGATTTTCAGTCAAGTCAGGATACAGAAAGTCCACGTTTCAGTATAGATATGCCACACCGGTTTGTTGTTCACAATTACAAAAGATTTACGTTTTGTGATCACTGTGGATCACTCTTGTATGGTTTATTTAGACAAGGCTTACAATGTGAAGGTAAATATCCAGTAAATAATATATTCATTGTATGAAATCAATTGTATGAATATGTAATATTTAAATCTGGTGTTTGTTTATACAGCTTGTAATATAAATGTTCATAAGAGATGCCAGAAAAACGTAGCAAATAATTGTGGCATTAACACTAAGGCTATGGCTGAGATTTTAAGTGCAATGAATATATCACCAGATAAACAGATAAAAACTCCAAAGATTAATTATAGAACGACAACTTGTCAGTCTGGTCAAACACCCACAACAGTAACAGCCACAGAAACATTACCGACAGATAATTCACAGCCAATTCAAAAAACGGAAGAAACACCTCCTATCGCTACTGAAAATGCAGTACCTGCTAGTGAGAATGAAGTTAGGAAATTTGATATGGAGGATTTTAATTTTATAAAGGTTCTTGGTAAAGGTAGTTTTGGGAAGGTAATGTTGGTAGAACGAAAAACCAATCCTGACGAAGTTTATGCTGTAAAAATTTTAAGAAAAACTGCGATTATACAAGATGACGATGTAGAATGCACAATGACGGAAAAGAGAATTTTAACATTGGCAGCGAAACATCCTTTTCTTACAGCTATTCACAGTTGTTTTCAAACAGATGACCGATTATTTTTTATTATGGAATATGTGAACGGAGGTGAGAATTAATTAAAAATTATATAATGACAATTAGAAATGATTATCTAGTGTTATAATAGTTGGTATTATTGGTATTATAGTGTTTACAGTGTAAAAAATATTCGATGCTTTTCAGGTGATTTAATGTTTCATATCCAGAGAGCACGAAAATTCGACGAAGCAAGAGCACGCTTCTATGCAGCAGAAGTTACGCTTGCGTTACAATTTCTTCATAGGCATCATATTATTTATCGAGATCTTAAATTGGACAATATAATACTCGATGCGGAAGGTCACTGTAAATTAGCAGATTTTGGAATGTGCAAGGAGGGTATTATCGAAGGGAAAACGACTACGACAACATTTTGTGGTACACCCGATTATATCGCGCCTGAAATTCTTCAAGAATTGCAATACGGTGCGAGTGTGGATTGGTGGGCGCTGGGCGTTTTAATGTACGAAATGATGGCTGGTCAGCCACCTTTCGAAGCAGATAACGAAGACGATCTATTTGAATCCATTCTACGAGACGATGTTCTTTACCCTATCTGGATCTCAAAGGAGGCAGTTTCTATTTTAAAAGGATTTATGACAAAAAATCCAGCTAAGAGATTAGGTTGCGTGGCCGCTAATGGTGGCGAGAATGCTATAAAAATCCACCCGTTTTTCCAAGAGATGGACTGGGAAGCACTTGAAGCAAGAAAAGTGAAACCACCAATTAGACCAAAAACTGTAAGCTCATGTTAAATATATTATATATAAAATTAATAATATATATAAATTTTGGTTTTTAATTGAAAATTATTTCATGGTAATTGTGCGTGTTTTAGAAAAGCAAAAAGGACGTAATGAACTTCGATACAGAGTTCACAAAAGAAGATCCGGTATTAACACCAGAAGATCCGGACGAAGTGAGCTACATAAACCAAGAGGAATTCCAAGGCTTCTCCTTTGTCAACAAAGACTTCAACCCTGCCAGGTTTGGAGCACAGTAGGAAGTAAGAACGAGCAAATGAAGAGGATTCAATGTTAATATCATCTTAAACGCTTCTTGCTTGGAAAATTGGCAAGCATGCCAATCTGCAAAGCTGAACATCGGCGTTTTGAAGCTGCTCGAGGTCTCCTCCTTTGTATTTTATCTCCACCGGGGGATAATTTTACGTGTCATTGGAAGCAACATTCAAGCTGTATAAAAATGTGGTGGAGATCGATAAGAAATTTGGGAAACCAGCTAGAAACTTCGGTCTATTTCACGTACAAAAAAAAAAAAAAAAAAAAAAGAAAAGAGGGGTAATTTTCGCAAAGAATTTGATTGCTAACAAGGAAGCGTGACCCCAATTCGACAAAAATGAAATGCGTTTGGATCTAAGTGTCTTAAGGTTTGATAAAATTCTTGATTTCCTTTGTTTTCTCGAAACAAAGACGAATGTGATCTAGAGGAAA